ATTATTTGAAGCTTAATTCGAACTCAATTGCATCTAAATTAAGTTTGAAAATTTACTTTTGCCTTTTCGATTTTAATTGTTGCCTCCTCTTACTTAATTCAATTAATTCAATTAATTACTTAATTAATATAGAATATTTGTAGATAGAAAAATTTAAATTAAACAAATCATTATACTTGTTAAACTAATTATATATAAATATCGGAAGCTAAGAAATATTGTTTAAAATCTTTTTTAATAAATTTCCTAATCAAACAAACAAACTAGGATTAATTATTTTATTATTTAAAAACAAAATACTTAGTAGATATGGATATGGACTATGCAACTAATTAAGAATTTAATAAATTGTACATCTTTTTTATTGTTAATAAATTCAGTTTTTCCTAACGAACAGATCGGTTTATTTTATAAATATGCATCTATGTTGAAAAACCTGGAAAAGGTATATAAAATTCAATTATTTTTAAGTCAATTTTAACGAAATGAAACTGCTTTACTAATAGAATTGTTTTTTGAATAATAGTTAATTACAACAAAATTTTCAACCATCACCCACCCACATCCTAACCCGTGTATTCGTTTTGTAAATCCTTTTATGTTATATGCTCTTAGATCCTAAAAGGTTACTCAAATAACAACAACAAAATTCTAAATCTATGTTGAATATTGTGTAATACTCACCATTAATGGTCTTTGGAAATATTCATTATTTTTATAAGTCATCATATAATCTTCGAATACAAGTGTTTAGGTCTTTGAAGCAATTACTTTTACATGTGTTAACCGATAGAGCCAAATCTACACAATACTTTGGTTGTTCAAATTTTAGGCTTCATTTTACCTTCATATGGATGAATATGTACTAAAATATAAAAAATTTGTATCACATCACAGAACCACCAAAATTTAATACAATTAACATAAAAGTCTATAAAATCAATATAAAATGGACTGGCAATGTAGGACGTGACTATATAACACTAACATGAAATAAAGGCTTGCCATAAAAGACATTTATTAAAAGTGAAAAACCTTCTGTATCAAGAACTCAATAAGGAAATGAGGAAGATCCACATATTAATAATAGAAATAGGAAAAATCAAGTACACCAGTCTCAAAAATTCGTTTTCTATTAGAGTCCTACATTTATATATGTTCTCTCTTAATGGCATTATATTCTTAGCAGAGATGACTAAATATCTTTAAAACATGTACCTTTCGCTTTTATATTTAATATTGTAAGAGAATTATAGAAGTGATAATATCTCAAAAATACAATGGAGACATGCGGATGGACTTATAACCTGAATTATTGGGTTAATTAGATTAAGTAATACTTGAATAAATTGCTTAAAATATATTATAATATTCCATGGTACGTTCAAACCATGGAATAGATAGTGTTGTAGTGAAATTAGGTCTTCAAGTCTCTAATCTTATATTCTTTTATTATAGACAAGCAATTAATGTTCATTATCATTTCATTGAAACACTAAAATAAATAAAAAAAAACCTTTTAATTTGTATTTTAGAAAATTTTAAAATTTTGTTTTAGAACAGTTTTAGAATCACTAAGACGTTTCAAAGAATAAGAATATTTCCAATGCACGTAAAACTATCGATTGGGGTTACCATCCGAGCATACTAAAATATGTAACGAAACTAATATATTAAATAAAATCAATGTTTTATTTTAATTGAAGTGGTTAGGATATATATTCATAAACAAACATCTCAACCATGGGCGTCTCTCCCCCCTACATTTCAAAATGTTATTATTGTTTTGAATAAAAATTTAATACTGTTTACAAGAAGAGTTTAAAATTTGTCTTTGTGAACAAAATCTAATTTTCAAGTTTTCAATGAACTACGGGTGAAATATATTAGCTAATATAAGCCAAAAAGATAAAAAAAAAAAAAAACTAAAGAGGGGTACTTTAGCATACTTTAAAATATATAATAATATCATATCAGTATACCAGCGTCCCCCTAATTCCGGCCCTAGGTGCGCCCATGATCTTAACAAACCCTACAATTCTGCAAGTTCGTTGTTTTTCAACTTATCAACTTACTACTAAAAAGTATATTCTAAAATGTGTTTCCACAGAATTATTTCCGCGAAATTTTAAAAATGAATACTGAATCAAAATTTTAGAGAATATATTATATATAAACTTAATAATTTTTGATTTGAATTTACAATAATTAACAGGTACAAGATGTCAATACTATTTAACACGACTCTGCAGTTTATCATGATAAATTTCAATGGTATGTCTTCAATTACCATATACTAAATACCATTTCGAAAGAGATGATATATGTATGATTTGAAAAAACAACAATGCCATCATTATATGGTCAAGATAATTTGAAAAACCAAAGTATTAACTATTGCAGCATTTTTCATTACTTTGTAATAAGCTTTGAAAAGCAAAATAACTATACTTTACTATAATATAAAAATTAAATTTTGAAATACTTGTTTAAAAGTATTGAGAAGATAATTTTAAATGATTTGCTGCATACGTAAATTACTTGAAAAATAATGGATTGATTGCTGTATGACTAAAATCAATTTGGTAATATCTGAGCAATAGTTGCAGCATGTATTAAATATTATTTTATTTACCGAAAACATCGCTGGTAAAGTAAACAATCAATATCCCAACATATTGCTTTTGTTAGTTTTACTCTCCTTGGTTAAAACCATATCTTTCTAAATGCTATAAATTTTAGCACTCATAAGATCCTTTTTTTAAATTTCTAACATGCTAAGTTGCTTCCATTTCTTTTCCTTTTCATTCGATATCATTACAAGTTAAGTATCAATATTATTATCATTAAGAGAGGAGATGTGTAAGCAAATATCCTTCCACTTCGCATAAATAGATTTATGGATATCAATATCCATATCTTAGGCTATCTATATCCGTAGGATTTTTTAAATATTGTATTTAGAAATTTAACAGATCTTTTATCCTCACCAATAATTATAAAAATTCTTGCAGTTTTTTGGGTTACCAAGGTTTGGTCTTGTTATGTGATGGTTAGAGCAAGCAGTTATTCATAACTGCTGTCTTCATGGTATTATTAGCCAGCTGATGAATATAGAGGTAAGTATTTTCTTAACCATTTACAGGGGAATATAGATTTATACTAGAAAGGATAAGTCTAGGAAAGCACGATGTCAGGTGTAACCGTTTCTATTGCGCTGAATGTGCCGATATCTGACAATAACGATATTAGCTTATCAATCTACATAATTACCGCTCTACTTTGATTTGATGATGAAGGATTGAAGGAAGGAAGATGCTTTAAATGCAGTTTGGTTGTTTTTGATGCGACTTGAAATTAGCCAACAGTTCTTCCTAATTGCAAAAACTTTAGCCTGAGAAATCATTTCATTAGTTACTTTTAACAAAATATTTAATACTTCTACTACCACCACCACTTTCCCTACTACATGACTTCTGTTTTACTTCTTCGTCGAGATGAAGCAACCGAGTATGGTTACAATTTAATTCTAGGCTGTTGAAGATATACAAAAGCCTGTGTACACAACATATTGAATTTTAATTGTCTTCATTTTGCTTCCTAAGAGAGATCCATTCGATTTAATTCTTGATTCTACTACAAAAATTTGTTTATTCCAATTACTCATATTTTTTTTTGTGTCAACTTGACTCCTTTGCATGAATTATTTTCCATTGGTATTACTCTTCGAGAACATTTTTTTTTTATTTTTGATTTATGACCTACATGAACACTAAACAGATTAATTTTTATCACATCAAATATATTTTCCAGCTTATCTTTCAATCTATATTTTTGCTTGTTTTCCGAATGCTATCATTAAAAAATGTTATGCAATTACGTACTCAGGCAGACAAATAAGAAATCCATCATGTTTATACAGATCCACAAATATATAGATAAGTGATAGAAAATTGAATGCAACTTTTATGTTTTTCTATATTTCAGTCAGTTTTATAAAATATATTATTTTCTTCTGAAAAAACTCATTGAGCCAATAAAAACTTATGTCATAACTATTTTTGTGAAAATTTTTAATACAAACTTTAAAATTATTTTTACTAAAATTTATACATTTATGTAAATGTTACAGTTGTGAGAATTAGGAGTATTATTACCCTAATATGAGGAGTATTGGTGCAAGTATACTTCAAAAGAGGGTTTATCTTTTCCTGGACATCATTCGTAGAAGGGCATTTAAATAATTCAAATAATCTCAATGGCGAGTACATTCAATATATTACATCAATATATACTTTCTGGAACTCATTTATCACGCTATAAGGTTAGTAATAATTAGTTACCTATTCTACGAACAATGAGAACTAAAATGTAATATTTTAATTAAATCTTATCCTCTTAAAAGACACGAAGGAAAAACTTTAGAAGCCATAAAATAAATAAATTAAATTAAATAAAATTAATAATTACTCCTCTTTCCATACTCAAGAACTAAATTTATTAATCAATACTATCATTCCATAGAGACTCTATAAATAGTCACAACACTACACATTAAAAAAAACATAATTTCTAATTTAAATTTACTATTCACAACTTATGAAGATCCAATCTCTGAAGAAGTAAACCAAAAATATATGGAATTATGATTTATTTATTTTTTTTATAAATTTATACTCGCATAATTTTGTATCTAAATTGCAAATTACAAGTAACTGAATGCATAAATTAATAGAGACATTCCTCTCACTGTTCTACAGATTAGTCCACGTCATTATTTATAAATTATAATTTAATTTTTCTTTTGTATTATTCATTTATATAGTTAGTATTATACACCTGGTTTAAATATCGCTGATAAAATTTAATAGATATCTTCTCTTAAATCCAAAAAGCATGTGCAATTTACATCGTATATCTATATATATATATATAATAAATTATGTATATATATAATAAAAATATTCACAGTTATTATATTACACGACCATTAGAAAGACCATATTTTTCGCAAATCTTTATTTTTTTAAAATTGTCGTTAATACCATTCATTATCCATTGCACACTTAACGACTCGGTTTTTTTCCCATGAAAGATAAAAATATTTTTTTTAATTGATAAGAATAGTAAGATTTTATTATGTAATCACATACACACGTATAAAATGTGTACTATATATAAACTATAATTTTCACTACACATTTAAATGCTATTGAAGTCTTAACGAAGCATGTAATCTTGTAAATTAATTTGTCCCTAAAATTCTATAAATGCAAGTCTGGTCCATCTGAAAGGATCAACAATTTTTCACAATTCTTCGCACTTTCCTACTTCATTCCCCGTTTAGTTGTGTTTCTCGTTCTTCATGAAATCATAAACTACAGAGAAATCCTTGTTGCCCAAGCCCTTTGACTTTAATGTACGGTAAATTTGATGAGCCATACCACCCAATGGAATTGGTGTATTAGAGGCAGTAGCTACACCAGAAGCCAAGCCCAAATCCTTGGTGATTAAATCAGTAGAGAAACCACCCTTGTAGTCATTGTTGGCTGGTGCAGTAGCTGTAATGCCAGGAACTGGATTATATAATTCAGATGCCCAACAACGACCTGTTGATGAGTTGATAATATCAGCGAATGTTTGTGGGTTCAAACCCAAACGGATAGCCAAGTTCATTGCCTCGGAAACACCAATCATAGAAATACCCAACATCATGTTGTTGCAAATTTTAGCAGCTTGACCCATGCCGTAATCACCACAGTGTGTAATACGTTTACCCATGCACTCCAAAACAGCTTTTACGGCCTTGTATTCAGCTTCAGTGCCACCAACCATGAAGGTCAAGGTCGCTTGTTCTGCACCAGGCACACCACCAGAGACTGGTGCGTCAATGAAACGTGCGCCCTTCGAGCTGACCATCTTCTGGATGGATTTCACAACGTTGGGATCAATTGTGGAGGAATCGATGAAAATTGTGTCCTTATTCACACCATTGGCTGTCATTTCATTGTATGTGTTGGCGACGATGTCGTTATTTGGCAACATAGTGATGACGAAGTCAGATTTCTGTGCCAGATCGCTGGTTTTCTCATAAACAGTAGCGCCCTTGGCCTTGAGATTATCGCAAGCCTGCTTGGAAATATCAAAAACATGCAATTTGTGGCCTTGCTTCATCAAGTTGCTAGCCATGTGTCCACCCATATTGCCCAAGCCCACGAAGCCGATGTTCTTGGAAGCACCCTGTGTAGACATGCAACGTACCAGGGTTTGGCTAAGAGCGTTCATTGCTGGAGAAGTACACACAATACGTAGAGCCATTTTGCTATATTTTTCAGTTATCCAAAGCCTATTGAATCGAAAGATAAACGCAATAAAAATTATGTAATTTAGTTAAAATACGCAGCACAAATAAAAAATAAAATAAAAAATTCCACACCTCAGCAAACTAAGTTCACGAAATATCCCTCACGTTCTGTTCGTTGCCAAAAGCACACTGTTCTCCCAGTAGAGAACAAATTTGCTGCGAGTCGTTCAATTTACTAACCTTCAACGACCCCCGCTTCCTCAGCTCAGCATAAAAGCACATCATCATTGTTTGTCGAATCTGTCTGCTCCATTCTCGTTCTACACATTTTCACTCACACAAACGCAACGCAACCAAACGCAACGTTTGCAATCCAAAATAAATTAAAGTTGTCAAGCAATTTTGCTCCACACGCGCCGCTGTTTGCTTTTGTTGTTGTTTTTGTTGTTTGAGAAACCGGCGAGCCTACAAGTGGCAAAAGTAGTTTTATATGCAGTGCTTTTGCTCTCTGAGTTTTGATAGGCGTTGTTGGTTGGAACCAGAATTGTTTTTATACAAAAGCACACGCGATGTTTGTGGAGCATAAAACCGTATGGTGTGATCATGACTCTGTCGCTCCAGGAAGCTTTAAGCGCTACACATTATTTATGAATATTAAATTTATTTTATTAAGATTAGTTTTAGTAAAATTTGTCGATGGTTATAATATGTAGTTTATAATTATGATATTAAGGCCGTGTGCGAATTAGAGTAAATTGAGGTAAAGGAAATTGTAATTTTCTAGAGACTTTTTATACTATACTTATGTAAATATTTATTTATTTATTTATTGCACTTATTTATTATTTTTGGTTAGAAGTTTTCAAATTTATTTATTAAACATCTCATAAAATTTTCACAATGGGAATACCTAATTTACATAATTTTTACTCGAAATATGGTACATATCAATATCGCTGCCATACGGACATAATTTGCTATTTCCCTCAATTTACCATCAATTTACTTGAACTCGCACACGGCCTAAGTATTTCACCTTAAAGAATATGAAGTGAAATTATGTGTATATAATTTACTTATTAAATATTAGTTTACTTATCAAAAAAATGTAATAATATATATAATAATATTAGGCATACAAAAGAAATGCCTGGTATTTGTGAATAAAATTGCAATTAATGTATTCAAAATAATTATATGAGGTCTAAAGAGGCTTAAAGTGTGGTAGTACATAGTAAGTAGTTTAATTATCAAACTAAATTAATGGCGTATAATCCTGTATGACAACTTTATTGTTTATTAATCCATTTGCTTGAGATTTGCATATTTATAAACTAAATATTTATGAAATACTAAGTATTATTATATTATCATTTATAGGGTTTTTGTTTTTTTTTTTTTGTTAATGTATAAAAGTTCAATTGAAGGTCATATTTTGTATTTTTTCAGTGATTTCTGGCACCTGAAATAGGTGTTAAAATAAAAATCCGATCGATAATTGTTCACATTTTGTAAACCTTTAACATTTTGCGTCAGCAAAATATTATGGTAAAACTTGCATACAGTTTTTGGGCTTAGCAAATAGAAATGAAAAAGTTCATAAAAAAAATTTTTTTTGTGCATTATTTGCACTTATTAAATTTTAATGTTTATTAAAATTAATTTTGTTTTTAAATACCAATAAAAAGTTTAAAAATATAAAAACCAAGTTTTAAAAACCATAAAAAATTATAATATTAGGATTAAAAAGTTATTAAAATTCAAAATTGACTCCACTTAACTGATTCAGAAAATACCGGTTTTTTATCATCTAATTTCAATTTAGCCACAATATATACTACGACTATATAAAGTATATTGTTTGTTCATAAACTAGAAATTATTTCTTTTAAATGAAACTAAAACATTTTTCAATATATATATATATATTATGTTACCCACTCAAACTACCAAGTTGTTTCTTTGTTCTACGTTATTAAATCATTTCAATACATTATAACTTAAATTTAACACAAAATCAGCTTTTATAAATTCTTTTGATTACAATCTATAGCTGATATATTTAACTCATAGATATTAATGTTAGATATTAATATTAGTTACTGATGAGCCCTATGTCATGACGTGCATATTTGAACCTCCTTTAGCAGTATATTCTTAATTGTGTTTTTTTATATTATACAACATTATCAAAATATTAAAACTCTTTAAGTTATCATTATAAAATTGTGTAGCATGTATTGAAAGTCATAATTGCCAGTTACTATTATTTCGTACAACTGGAAATGTGTAGTTGATACGTTCCAAGCAATTTGTTTTGTATGCGCTGTTTGCCTGTTAGAGCTTTTAATAGAAATATCTCTTTTGGAAAGTCATAAGCTTTCATGAAAGCTTGAAAACGTATGCTTTCATATCAAAAGAAAGATTATTTTTTATCAACAATAAATGTAAAAATCATCAATCTAAATATTTAGAGTTCACACACAGTCAAGTTGATAATTATTAATAATGTATGGTAAAGCTTTTATTCATTAAGATTGATTTTCACATTTACAACATAAATATGTACGAATCTATGTATGTCCACAACCAAACAAAAACAAATTAAACGAATTTGATAGAAAAACATAGAACTCGTTTTGTAAACATAGAATGTGTTCTGTAAACATAGAAAGTGTTCTGTAAACATAGTATCCCACAGTTTTGAACTATAATCAAAACTCACATTTTTTTAATTTAAAAATGAAAGGTATTAAAAAAAAAACAACTCCAGCTATAATCTTACTTCCTCATAGTACATCCTTACTCTATACCAGTGGTTCCCAACTGGTGGATACATAGTTTGTAGTTTATTCACTGAGACCGCACACACACACTTATTAAAAAACAAAAAATAAACACAAAAAATTTCCAAGTCATTATAGGTATACCTATTTTATAGCCTATATAATGTACCTAAACCAGAGATGCATAAAGCATATTAAAATAAACATACAGTTTATTATTCTTAAACTTTGTGATCCCTATTAAAAATAAAAATATTATAATGGGTCTTGGTCAAGAAAATGTTGGAAACCACTGTTATATACCATCATTTTTACCAAAAAATCCAGAATATTAGAAAGTATTTTAGATTCTTTGCTTTTACCATCCGATGTTACTATAGAAAAGTCTGTACGTTTTAAAAAATAGTGCCTTCAAACATTGCTGTCAAATAATAATTATTGATCTACGAAGATCAATTTTCGGATAATGATTTATATTTGAATAATGATGTGGAAAAATGATTTAAATATGTTGTTGTTCAATTCTTAAGACTATATACGTATAAAAAAAGTAAAATATACACCAAAAAATGAAAATATTTTAAAATCGGATTACTTTAAATTAGCAATGCTGGGATATATGTTTTTCAGGCACATACACCAATTTTAATTATAAATTACATCGATACTATATTTTATATTAATTGATATGTTTTGGCTTGGGTCTTTGATAATTATAATTGGGTCTTTATTAATAATTCAAGTCAGAAAAAAATAAATAAATATATTAATATATAACAGAATATGCTAACAAAACAACTGTTCCATTATTTAAGTGTGCAATTTATGAAATAAAAGAAAACGTGAAGACATCACACACCCACCCAATATTGAGGGTACCCTCAAAACCATCATTGCAGATGGTTTTATATACGCTAAAGAGATTAGTTTAAACTTTATTGATTGAAATTATTATCGAAGGTTTGAAATACAGTAATAAAATAGTATATGAATTATGATCATAATTTCTATAATCCTAAGTATTATCTGCAGCGATATACATAACAGGGAATATTTGAAAATAAACAAGGCATCGAAGAAAAAGAGTTATAATTGTTAAGAATACAAGATACTACAATTTCACTGTAACCTTTTCAATATTGCTGTATATACCCATATTGTATTAATATAGTGTTATGAATATAGATAGTATTTACTTATTTAATAGTGAATATTTGTGTATCGATATAGATACAATATAGGTACTTGATTTTATAAGATTTTTAATTTTAAAAACAACCTGGTTTTTATTTAAAGTTTATATTTTATGCTAACATTCAAAGTTTTGAGGCTTCTCGGGCAGCTTCTCAGGATTATGATATATATTGTACTATATAATATTAGTGTTTATTTTTCCAAAGAATCGTGATAACATGCTTTTTTGATGGACTTATCTAAAACACTCAGTATTTTGATAAATATTGAAAACGGACTCATCACACTTACAATTTTTTTCCTTTCTCGCACCAAGGAATTTAACCTCTCGCGAGGTTAAAGCACATTGGTGCTTAAAACTCTATAGGTGTATGGTATACCAGCACACTCTTCACTTGTACAAATTTTTCCAGAATCTGATGCCTGTTCAGATATCTATAATTATGTGTATTTATATTGAAATGATTATTATATACCATGTATTTAAAAAATGCAACTAAAAGCATGTTATGTAGTATGATAATGTTATGTTTAAATATTTAAATGCTTCAGTATTTACATAATTTATGTTATTAGTATTTGAATTTCACATTACAAATTATGAAGAAAATATGTTTCGGAATTTTTACTAATAAATTTAAATTGGACATTGCAATTATGAATTATTAAAAATATTTGACTGACTCAATTTCGCCTCATGGCAATGTTATGAAAATTGATATTTTAAAGTGAATAAATATGAAATATCATATTATGTATTATGACAAAAATTTGCAATATTTTTATTTTTTACTTTTGAAATTGCAGCAAATCTGAACTCATTCTCTTACATCATAAAACAGTTTTATGCTTAACAAAAAAACAGCAAAACTACATTTAAGCGCACATAATTTCACTACAAAAACAAAAAGAAATAAAATACATTTTTTTTATTTCTTTAAAAAAAAACTAAAATCGCAACAAACTAAGCCTGAAATACGTATGACCATTTCTGCTCCAAAACAAGTCCAGCACATTCATGAGTTAATAAGCCATTTCAGAAAATCTGGTTCGAAAGTTGATACACAAACTTTTGGGAAACGCAAGCAACTGGAATCGACGTAATGAAGCACAACACTTGCACAAATCTCACATTGAGTGACATCGAGCAGATGTAGTTACACATCGAATCCGAATCTTTTGCTGAAATTGAGTTTAATTAAATACAACTCTGCTGACACAATAAG